AAAAAAAAAAAAAAAAAAAAAAAAAAAAAAGAAAAAAAAAAAAAAGTCAGGCTGTAAAGGGCACTGATATTTATTTGATATCATTGAAGAAAATATATTAATTGGGATGGCTAATATCACCCCAAGACCACCGATAGCCATCATGATGAATATATTTTCTTCTAACACTTGATTTTTGGTCATATATATGATACCTCTCTGGATCATTTTATATCCTCTTTTTTTTCCTCACTTTGCCTTTTCTGATAGCGCCTTTTACTCCCTTTCACTTTTTGTTTTTTACTATTTAGTTTTTTTCTGATTTATTGTTGGGCTTTAAAAATGTTTTCTTTGTACCAGGAAAATGAAGGCAAAGGAAAGGTATGATAGGACCAGTTGTTTTTGTGACTTTTTTTTTTCTCAGAATAGCGATTTATTAGAAAGAGAGAGAGAGTTTCCAGATAAGTTTGGGGTTTTTTGGAGTTAGAGTCTTGCTCTGTTGCTGAGGCTGGAGTGCGGTGGCACAATCTTGGCTCATTGCAACCTCTGTCTCTCAGGTTCAAGTGATTCTCCCGTCTCAGCCTCCTGAGTAGCTGGGATTACAGGTGCATACCACCATGCCTGGCTAATGTTTGTATTTTTAGTAGAGACAGGGTTTCACCATGTCAGCCAGGCTGGTCTTGAACTCCTACCTCAAGTGATCTGCCCGCCTCAGCCTCCCAACGTGCTTGGATTACATGAGTGAGCTGCCAAGCCCAGCCTCCGGATAAGATTTGCATCAGTACACAGAGTAAAGCAGATGGTGCTCACTAATGAGGGTGGGCCTCAACCAATCAGTTGAAGATCTGAATAGAACAAAAAGGCTGAGTAAAAGGGAATTCTTTTTGCTAACTGCTAAAGCTTGAATGTTGGTCTGGTCTTCTCTCTCTCTCTCTCTCTCTCTCTCTCTCTCTCTCTCTCTCTCTCTCTCTCCCTCTCCCCCACCCCTCTATTTTTTTTGAGATGGAGTCTTGTTCTGTTGCCCAGGCTGGAGTGCAGTGGTGTCATCTTGGCTCACTGCAACTCCACCTCCCAGGTCCAAGCAATTCTCCTGCCTCAGCCTCTCAAGCAGCTGGAACTACAGGTGCACACCACCACGCTCAGCTAATTTTTTGTATTTTTAGTAGAGACGGGATTTCACCATATTGGCCAGGCTGGTGTCCAACTGCTGACCTCATGAACCACCCACCTTGGCCCCCCCAAAGTGCTGGGATTACAGTTGGGAGCCACCATGCCCAGCCGACATTGATCTTTTCTGGCCTTTGGACTAAAGCTGAAATACTTGCTGTTCTTGGGTCTTCAACCTGCCAACTTTTAGACGAGAACTTACAGCATCGTCCCTCCTGGTCCTCAGCCCTTCAGTCTCCAACAGCAGCTATGCCGTCAGCTCTCCTGGGTCTCCAGCTTACTGCCTGCAGATCTTGGGGCTTCTCAGCCTCCATCATCACATAAGCCAATTCCTTCTAATAAATCTCTCTCTCTGACATACATAAATCTCCTATTGGTTCTTTTTCTCTGGAGAAGCCTAATACAATGGGGCCACGGAACATCCCAGAGAGAAAGTAAGGGTGAAGCAGGGAGCCCCATTCTGGTAGCTGGATCCTAGGGCCCTCCCAGAGTCTTCTCTGAAGAAGTCCCAAGTCCTACCTAGAATCTCAAATAAAAATGACAACAGAGCACGGGAATGCCTTCCAGATCCATAGAGAAAGGGGTGTGGCTGGGTGACTTTCCACACTTGTTTGAGCTCTTTCCCCAGCAAGAAGACCCGAAACCTATCACCCCATGTCACCTGCCCCAGCCCCAGGGAAACCTGGCTTTGTGGCTGCGGCTGAAGCAGGCACCTACCCCCACTCCCCATCACCCCGGCATCCCTCTAAGAAACACATCTTTGTTGGCTCAGTTTGCGAGCAGGAGGTTCAGAGGGGCACAAATGACCATTCCTCTCTGCAAAGAAAACCAGGGGTAATTATTAGCAGTACAGGTTGGGTGGGAAGAGGAGTCAGGTGGGACTCTGTGGTGAGCCTGTCCAACCCCCCATTTCTCAGAGAAGGCCAGGATGCACAGATGGAGTCCATGAAGGATGACTGGCCTCCCCGGGCTGAAAGCTGGTGAGGAAACTGGGCACTGACTCGTAAACCCAATGAATCAATATTTATCAGGCAAACAAGCTTTCCCTTGGTCCATCTATCACCCAAAGAAATGTCCCAGCCAACACCAGAGGGATCCAATGTTGACGGATGCAGCAGCCACTATCACTTTCCCTGTTCTGTGTCCCCGTTCTAGTGGGCTCAGTGGGACAGAACTGAACCCCCTAACACCAAGAGGGAAATATGGAGTGGGGATGGGTACACTGCTCCCCTGCTGAGCCACAGCAACTGGTATGATTATTATGAACTTCTTAGTTCATCATAAGGTCTGGCCCCTGCTGTAGGCAGGTCCACAATTCAGCTGGAGCAGACTCCTTTATTCTCTGCTGCAAAGATCCTCAGACTTCAATGTGAATCAGAGTGACTAGGCATACTTGTTAAAGTGCAGATTCTCGGGTGATACCAGGTCAGATTCTGAGGCGGTGGGGACCAGGAACCTGGGCTTTGTTTCCTTTGGTCTGTTTTGAGGCGAGGTCTCGTTCTGTTTCCCAGGCTGGACTCCAGTGACACACTCTCGTCTCAATGCAGCTTCAAACTCCCGGGCTCTGGTGGTCCTCCCACCTCAGCCTGCCAAGTAGCTGAGACTACAGATGCATGCCACCACACCTGGCTGTCTTTTATAAAATCTTTTTTATAGAAATGGATTTTGCTAGGTTGCCTAGGCTGATCTGAAGCTCAAGCAATCTTTCTGCCCCAGTCTTACAAAGGGTTGGGAATGCAGGTGTCAGCCAATGTGCCCAACCTGGAATCTGTATTGAAACACCTCCCCAGGTGATTCTGATACAGATGGTCTAAGAGCATTCTTGGAAAGCCCTTGCTGCCCTGCTCATCCTCCCCTGTTCCCAGTGGCTCCCTCGAGCTTTGGCTTCCCCCCCCCCCACCCTCCATGGCTCACATATGCCCATGGGGGTTGGGAAATGGACTCAGGCTGCTGGATCGCTAGCCAAGGCTCACTCCTCAGCGTGTCTTTTCCTGCAGCCATGGGGAGGGAAGAAATGATGGCATTTGGGCCATCCAGACAGGGAGACACACAGCACACCCAGATCAGCCAAATGGCTCTTCTTGGTAGAGCCAGACAGTAGAAGGAAATAGAAGTCCAAGGGCTTACTATCTGCCAGGACCCTTACAAGGGGACTGAGCGGGGAGTTGATCATTCACTGAGCACTACTATGTGTCTGGCACACGGGAGGTGCTTTATTTATCTATTTATTTATTTATATCATGTCTGATCTGCCCCCACTCTACAAGGCTGATTGCAGAGCTGGGCTGGACTGGAGCCTCTGGAGGCAACATCACAGGCCATCCTTTTAGCCATAGTGTCCCGCTGCCAAAAGGAACTCTGCCAACTGAGCCACTCTGGCCCCTTTTCCCCACCCGCTGCCCCTGCGTGCACAACTCAGGCCTCGCCATCAAAACCCATCAGCTCTGGATCCTGAAGCCCCCAGAGAAGGCTTGGCATCACTGGGGAAAAGACAATGAAAGCTGAATAAAATCGGCAACACTTACATAACCTGTGAGATCTGACCAGACTCCCAGATGCCATGGCCTGAGGGGTCAGGAAGTTCCTGGAAACCCTCACTGAAGGCTTTGGCCGTCCTCTCTCACTGCATGGCTCCCACCCTCAGTCCCAAGTCCTGGGTTTGTGATGCTGGAGTCCACAGCTGCCAAGTGCAGAAGAAGCTCTTGGCCCAGCAGCCAGTCCAGCCCCCGAGCCCCTCCACTGCCGGGTTCATAGAAAATAAAAAGATTTCAATGATATGTGACCAATAACTATGGCCATCAAAACCAAATCGGA